GCATGTTTTATCTAATTTTTAATGCAGGCTTCAAATTTTTTCAATTGTTTTTTTTGTTTTGTTTACGTGTTTCTTTTCTGAACATGACCAAACTGCACTGTAACTGCGAACTTTACCTAACGCCCAGATGGACACTAAGGTAAACTAATTAACAATGTTGTATTGCATAACATAACGAGCATTGAGAGGGGGGAGCGAGGGCCAGGAGGAATGATGCGAGATTCATGAGGACAGAGGCTGTGGCATAATTTAGCGTAGGCGAGTTGTGCAGGTATGCTGGCGATCAAGTGAAGAGCAGGACGAGGGGGGGTGGAGGTGAGGAGCGGCGGTGGAGGTGTCTGGGCGGAGTCGGGCGTGGAAAAGGGCGATGTATACAGACGCGCCGAATGCAGGTGGTGTGACAATGGCGATGACTAGCCGCCGGATTTTCGGCAAACGCGTATTTTGATCCTTGCGCTTCTATTGCACCAATTTGATATATGACCACAAAATAGAGCTTCGGAAGGGATTTTATAGTGTTTTTTATAGTCAATATAAATGTCCGTTTCAGCGTTTGTGGCTAAGTGCATACAAATGCCTACAATTTTTAATTTGACACCTATATGCATGTGCTGTTTAGACTGAAGTTTCACTTTCGAGTGCAGTTTGAGACCTTTATTGACGTTACCGGGAAACATTGTCAAGAAATCTATGGGGTTTCAACTTCATCATCTATTTCAACCAAATCGCGGAAGACAACCGATAGCAGCAGTGAAGAGGGGCGTGCCGGCCAGCATAGGCTGCCACGCTAGCACAGTGGTTTAGCGGTCTGGCTATCTGCGCCCAGCCTTACGAAAAAATGAAAACGCCCCATGGAGCGTCAACTCAACAGTAGACACATTATTCGCTATGCTACACAAAAAATATGAAGTGGTCGTATTTTGCAAACTATGCGGAAAAATGGACAATTATCGTTGGAAAAGTGGCACCAACCACCTTATTCGTTAAAAGTAAAAACTTCAAAAGCCTCGAGATAGGGCTAGTTGGTACTGATATATTGTTATATTGTTCGTTAAAGCTTGTCTAGTTTTCCTGCCTTTGCTTTCTGGTGGCTACACCTATATTTTAAGTTACGATCGATTAAAATTTAATTTGAAAGTAGCGCTTGTCTTGTGTGCTTCGTTCGTCTTATGCACATGTCTTTCGCGCTTTACTATAAAAAGGTTTTACTATAAAATGAGAAAAACCCAATATTTCATCTTTCCCATCCAACCAAACGGAACTCTGTCAAAGGTTCACCTAAAAGGACAGTTGCAAGGCTGTGTTGAACTGGTGACACTTTTGTTGATCGGTTCGTGTAAAAATGGTTGAACCCGAAACGGGGAATCACTGAAGAAACACGCAGCAGTAGAAATTATGAAAATAAAGAAGACAGAAACGAGAAACAAGGCGAAATCATAAACACAATTTTTTTTCCTCTATACTGTTTTCCGGCATAACACTCATGTCCTCAAATGAAATTATTTGCGTTGTGTAAAATTTATTGTACATGTATTAGCGACGTTGGAGGCCCGCAAAGCAGTTTTGTGTGCCTATTTTCGGCGTTTAATATGCGCTTTGTAGATGACTAAGAAAACCGGCTCTTGTAATGACGTTCTAACTTTATATTAAATCGCACTCCATTGCTGAGGCTTCCTCTCAGCTCTGCTGTCTTATGGTACTTACGATGGTCAACTAGGGGCACTGGCTGTCATTACCGTAATGTAGAAATTATTTTGGGGGCATAATGTTAGAAAAGTGAAATTCAGAAAGCCGATGTTTATTTTCATCCGCAACTACGCGCGTTTACAGATTACTCGTCATCTCGTTTCCTGAAAAGTTTGCGATGATATATTCTTCCATCATTTTCGTATTTCTATTTTTATTACAATAAACCAACGAACGTTCTCTCAGCTCCTCCTCCCGACTCTAACTCACAAGTGGTCCCTCAGGAGCTCACTTTTCGCTGACCAGCAATGGGCCGTCCAGCAGGCCCACGAAGCGGCCGCCATGTACTCCCTGTCGATCCCTACGTGGCAGATGCCCGCTACGCACTAAGCGCGTCCTGCAAGACTAAAATAAAGTTTTTTTAAAGACGATATTAAAGATGATAGTCTTTTTTGGGGACCTTCGACGGAAAAATTTTGGTCTGTCTGTGTGTCTGTTTGTACATTTGTCTGTTTGTCTGCCCTAACGATACCTCAAACGGCATCACACAGCCAACCCCATCCGCAGCGCCCACCAATACTGCTCAGAGTTTAGCGTTCATAGTTGTGCGATTGTCAATTAAAAAACACTTATTGCGCATATCTGAGGCGCCACAACAACACTTCGTTGTTTTCTCTGTCTGCCTTTATACTAGAAGAGGCACACACAAGTAACTCTAAGGAATGTAGCGTTTAATCGCGCTGTGTTGACAGTGCAAAGCGATGCTCAAAAAGGCGTTTCCCACGACGTCACGGTGGTGGCACCTGCCCGTCGCTTTGCGTTTTACACCTTATCACCTCCGAGACTGGCGCGCATCTTTCTCCGCGGGCTGCACGCCTTCGTTTTCGAAGATAACTGCCAGATGGCACTTGTGTCTAACGTGCCTAGATGCCCTCGTTCGCCTCCGCCACACGCTGGAGGCACTGTAACGCAGCGCCTGCAGAATACAATTAACCGACTTTCTTGCGCAGAACATCAAATAAACGTTCTGTTCATTCTCTCCAGACGCAAGACTATCGTCTTTCGACGACATTTACAGCGTAACATGTAGATTCGGGCCAATTTTTTCATTCCGTTCTGCAGCTCTGTTTTCTTTTCGCTGTTCCAGCTGCTTTCTTTCTTACAATGTCGTATTTTACGTAAGGTTAGCTACACGTGTAAGACTGCGTACAAGTACGAGGAAGGCGAGGGCAAGAGTTTAGATCCTTCAGTGTTAACACATTATATATATTTCAAGACCTAGGGTATTTATTCAATTTGTTATTTATTTATAACAAAACAAAAGAATGTTGCCTTTATGTACATTTGTTTGAGCACAAAATTTAGTATAAAGTTTGAAATTTCACCTGCCTTACTTTAATGTACTACAACATTTCATTAGGAGAACTCCATTCTTGGTGAATCCCCCACAGTGGGTGTGAGCCACAGTTGAAGGTGAACAAGATTGACAAAAAAAAAAAGGCAAGCGCACCGCTGTAAGACAGAAAATTTTAGGGTAGGAACAACCGCTTTTTATGTCTAAATTCTAAAAATAACTAATGCCTCTCAAGACAATCAAAACCTGTGATCACGAAGTTACATTTCTGCAATACTCACCGAGCCTTCATGTAACACATTTTGCATGGTCACATGAGTTCTTTCGTAGGTTAAGAATTAATCAGACCAGCATCTTGGGGAAAGTTGTTGACCTATTACTTGAATACGACTGCGCAAGAGTAAGTACACGGGGGCACGTGAAGCACCACTTTGTCACATTTTCTTAGTTTATTTTATTTTATTTATTTGTACATACTGCAGGCCCTAATCGGACCTATGCAGGAGTGAATACATAGAGGTAACATGAGGCACAATAACACTACACAAAAAGAAAAGAAAGAAAGTATTGATGCACATAGCATACTTCATGATTCACATGTGTACATTTTTAGAAAAATCAATCTCTTTTAAACAGTTGACAAAAGATTCCAGCGTAGAACAATTCACAGCATCGACTGGCAGCCTATTCCAAAACCTAATGGCCATTGGGAATAAAGAATACTTATGTATATTGACACGGCTAGCAGGTTGAAAGATGACCTTATTATGGTTTGTCCTGAGTGAGTGTTTAAATGGGTCTTGTACGTACAGATTGCGCGGTATGTTAAATTAGTTAAATTAGCACTTAGTCAAAACGAAGTATTTCACGCCGTGAGTTGTTTGATTCAGGCAACAGATCATACGCCACGCCACGGCCACTGAATAAGGAAGAAGGTGTGGCCATGTCTAATCCTAAGTTACTTGTTTCCAAATGTCTTTCTTTATTCCTTTATTTATTATTGTTCCTGAAAAAATCTGCTTCATTTTCTATCTCCGTTATCTCTAATTGTCAATTTCTCGTATTAGTTCGTTGATCCTTCTCATTACTTTAAATGACGTGAACTAACAAATTATCGGTATTCTGTTCGAGCTACCCGGTTCTTGGCCAATCCCCCGGTGTGCCACAGATTCCAAGTCTTTCATTCCTTTCTTCCTTCCTTCTATCACGTCTCTTTGAATCTCTTACATTCGAAAGTGCGCAAAAAAATAGTCTTTTTCTTAACTTACTTTCTTATTCGTTAGAATTCCCTTTTAAACCGTTGAAGACGTAGGTTTACCTTTAATCGTCGTTCTTTTTTTAACCTATTCAGGTTTTCTTTATCTTCTCATCGTTGCGATTCTCGGTTCATCCCAGACCATGCGTATGTGCCATGTATGATGATGATGATGATGATTCCACAACCATGGCTCGTACCCACTCAGGGGGATCGGCCAAGAATCGATGACTTAATTCAGTAAGATTTTTTTGTAATTCAATATCGGAACCACCCACCAGAGAAAAAAAAAGAAAAAAGAAAAGACATCCTAGGCGGAATGAAAGGATTGCAATAGTTGTTTGTCACTCACTCAGATCAGACAATGATTCATTACCTTGAACAGGAATCAGCATGATTAAACAAAGCTCCTGTTTATGTTGGAATTTCTTTGAAGGAGTAATAATTACGCAATTAAAAGTCTAATTCTTTTACTTTCATTAAGGTACTTGCAAACTGCATAGAAAACGTTCTCGTGGCTGAAGCCCAGATCGGAAGCACCGAAGGAAAGTATATTTTTGAAAGCACATCGTCATCGTCAATGCACGTTCTAGCGAATCCACGCACCCGACTGGTCGCCATATCGTAGAACTGTCCTGTCGCACTGTCGGAGCTCCTGTGGACTTTCACTCTCAGGCCTGACAGTACCTCTCTCCTCGATTGCAGCCCTCGACGAACTTCATTATGGACACCGTTTTAGTATTTTCAGAGTCTCTCACGGACACAACAAAGTACGTAAAGCGTTGCTTTTCTTTTTCGAGCACACTTTCTGCGTTTGCTTTTTACATGAAATCTAGGAATGTTCATCGTCTCGACTTACCAGAGATTAAATGCCTAGCGAATATTTCTAGATATTGCATGCACGATCGCAATGTTTTCGGACGAATATGGAACGTGTTCCGCTTGCGGTAGATCTACGTTCTAATGTAATCGTTCTTATTTTCTACTCTGCACCATCTAGGAATCCTTCAGTAAGAGACTGGGTTGAAGCACACAATGAAGCAAGGCAGTTTTTCATTGCGCAATAATGATCTACACGAGGAGTTGCGGTCACAGCCATCAACTCATTTGAAGTGTTTTTGTGGAGCAGGTGACACGGGACCAGTGACGTTGTCCTGGCTTTTGTCTTTTTTACATAACTTCGGATTGCCTCACAGTAGTTGTTACCTATCCCAAGGGGCAATACGAATGTTATTCTGTTACCCTTTCAAAGCCGCCGCTCGGTTGGCGTCGTTATTACCCGAGTGATTCTCTTCTTAATCCTCGTGGAAAGTATCACACTCGGTCAACGACCCCAAACCTCGTCCGTCACATCGGCCACTTATTAATTCAACTTTAAAGATGACAATACCATCCTTCAGCTTCTATCTCGTCTTTCTCGTTTTATTATTCAATCACATGGCATTAAGTCCTTCTTCTCTGCCTTTGTTCAGCGCAAATCATCCTTCTATACAACTCAACCTCAAAACATATAATTAACTTTTGAGCACGCTTCTTATTGCAAATATTTCCCATTCCTATTAATCTTCCGAGTCCATTTTGTATGCACTACGCTGAATGTTTCCATGCTGTCCAGAGACTTGCAATGAAAGCTATGCGCTCACGTTACAATCTGCAGCGTCGCCACAAGGTCGTCGCTGGTGAGCCGGTTCACGGTGTTGGATTACCTGGTGTTCTGCGGCATGCTCCTGGTGTCGGCGGGCATAGGCGTCTACACCGCTTTCTTCGGCTCCAAGAAAGTGTCCACCGACGAGTTCCTGATGGGCGGCCGCCAACTGAGCGCCTTCCCCGTGGCGCTCTCGATCTTGGCCAGCTTCATGTCGGCCATTACTCTGCTCGGCACGGCCTCCGAGGTGTACCTAGCAGGCACCCAGTATGTCGTCATATGCGTCTCCTACTGCTTCGTCGTTCCAGCCACGGCCTACTTCTATATGCCCATCTTCCATCACCTGCAGCTTACCAGCGCCTACGAGGTGAATACACGCCGCTGTTGCCCGCTTGTTTGCCTCGAGTGTTTCGCACACTCAACTCTTCATGCTTTCAAACGAGTGCCCTTTACGAATAGCTCTAATGACGAGCCCCTACACTTGAAGCCCGCAAAATAAGCAGGAAGATGGGGTGATTTTGCCGCCTACATAAAATATAAGCCTTCGTGGAGTTACATATTAGAGCTTTGTTGAGCCGCGACAAACAGGACGTGGAAGGCCAGCATCAGATTTCTTATTTGTTTATTCTATGTTTTGAGTTTATTCTACGTTTTGAGTTTGTAAATGCAGTAAGTAGCACTGTTGCATCAATTTCTGCCCGGTAGTATTGGCAGTATTATCAGACTAAAGGGACAAACTTTATCGGGGGAGATGTACCTTAATTGTATAGTATACAAGAAAGCAGATTAACAAGATTATTTTTGCGACAGCCTAATGACTCCCATGCGTTAAATAAGTACGCACACTTCGTTAACACCTACTTATTTTTTTTCTTTTTTATTATTCAATATAGTACCTCGAAATACGCTTCAACCAAGTTATACGATCAATGGGAAGTATACATTCTCAATCCAAATGGTGAGTTCTGATGACATTACATTCTTCAAACGATCAACTATGCAAATAAAATAAGTGTTGTTGCTGTTGTTTCTATTTTCAGCTTATTTACATGTCAATTGTACTGTACGCACCAGCACTGGCAGTCTCTCAAGGTAAGTTTGAGCATTGTTCTCCATCACACCATACACTTACACATACAAAAGCTTTGTAAACTGCATCCACGTGAGAATCCCGCTACAGTGGTCAGAAATTACAATGAGTCATGTGTACAGCAAAAATAAAGTGTTTGCATTGACTGCACGAACTTGCGATAAACGCATGTTAGAAGCATATATATCTGTAGTACAACATTACAATGTAAGTGCCCTCAATGCATATTTCTAGCAGTGATCATCGCCAGTTTCGATAAGACGTTTGCCTTCATCCAAAAAATTACACAGCCCTGCACAATATTCAGTTGGCGTTTACTAAATTCAGCGTGAAAATAAAGATCACTGAGTATGAGGCCGAGATGCTGCTGCTACCCCAGCGGCCGCAATTTTATGTGAAAATGGTCTTCGATTAATGGGCACGTTAAAGAACCTTGCGTGGTCCGAATTAATCCAGAACGCCACACAACGGCATAAAACAATATAGGATCATATGGCTTCCAAGTCAACTAAATAACTAGCCCCTTTTCGCTCACTAGCCTTTGTCACACATAATAATGATGAGTTTGTGCATTAACAATCCATGTAATTAATATTAATATAATGTACAGGATGGTAGAGATAATTGTATAATATTGGATCTTTAGCTGGACGTAACAAAAGTGCTAGTTGCCTTTTTGCATCACTTTTTAAGAGGGTGCTAATGTCGTATCTTTCGTACAATGAGAACTTCTCACCGTTAGTGAATGAAATTCGAACGAACAAACGCCTTACCTAGCAGCTCTGTGTAGTGGTTCTGGAAGATCGCATTATTAGAGATGTTGCCGTGTAATACATGCTGTCATTTCTCTCCATTTTCATAGAGCAGTAGTAACATACAACCCATTCACCGGGTCAGCGTATATATAATTCAAAACCATTCCGCTTGCATGCGAGCCTGAATGGAATATAGAACGAACGATCGTTAGCATTGTCGATTGCTGGCTCGATGATATCACTGTTCTTTCAACAAGCAAACAGAATTTGTAACTTTCGGTGCTTTTCAAACAACTATAGTGGTGATAAGGTGACGATGTAAGGTTTCCCACTCTCTCCTCTTACGCAGTGACTGGAATTTCCACCTGGACATCGATCCTGTCCCTAGGAATAGTTTGCACTTTCTACACGAGCATTGTGAGTGAAAACTTTACGTTGCTCTTTAAATTACGCGGGGTGGGTGCGGATCGGTAGCTAATTTTGAGCGTGACCACGTAGACCGATTAGTAAACTGCGCCATAAAGCACTTACGTGACATGCTGAGCACAGGCGCGGCTATGTTACAACACGTATTCTCTTTTTTTTTTCAAAGCAGTTATCCACGTTTTATGACTTACTGCCTGCAATATTCACAGCTCTGCGCAAGCACCAGTAACGTTATCATTATTTTGCTATACTGTAATGAATTACTTTCAAGAACACGTGTATTGACGCTCCTCTAGTGGGTCATATTCTGAAGAAAAGCTGATTTCTATACCAAGATGTTCAACTACCTTTTCAGGAATTACGCATCCTAAATAAAGTCAGGGACCACAATGGGTAATCTAGTTATTCTCAATTCGTGCTTCATAGTGGCTTCATTATGAAACTCATGCATTTGCATTACATTCCCTGCAACAATTCACGCCTATTAGGTCGACTTGTGCGTTGCGGTGTGTAGAAGATACTTTTTTGTTTTTCAGCTTCACCTGTCTGGGAGTGCATTAGGCGTTTGTTTGTTTATGCCAAACGCTTCCTTACCACTACTTCTTCAGGGTGGCATGAAAGCTGTCGTGTGGACAGACGTCTTCCAAATCACGCTAATGTTTGGATCCATGATCGTGGTCGTCTTTCGAGGGACCATCGACCTCGGCGGACTTGGATACGTATTTGACAAGGCCCAAGAAGGGGGACGTCTGGAATTTTTCAAGTGAGAAATGTTCAATGAAAGTTCAGGGCTGTCTGGCAAAGGGTTTTGAAATCGCGTTTACATCAAGCGCATAAACAGAAAACATGGTTTCCTCTTAAAACTCATTTCTAACTCCCAAACAACTTTCAACGAAGAATCGTGAGACGGCTTTTTGTGGAAACGAGGACGGTACTAAACCTTAAGCTTCGAACACAGGCAAAACCATTGCATATACAATTAGACAACTACAGAGCTAACAAAGTGTTTATATTTTTCGCATACAACCATAATGACGCAAGAGTCACAATTATAGTTTATAAGCTTTATTCTACTACCACCTGATGGCGAAATAATAAAAAATTGTTATCTGAATTAACAAACCCTCTTGCTCTATTCAGTCAAAATAAATATCTCCTCTTACAAATTAGCTTTATTAAAATGTCGCTTACTAACTTAAATAATTAGAGACAAGTTCACGCCTCAGAATGAAGAATGGGCCTCTTTAGATCGATTTGCATCATTTTAACATCAACGAGCAATCTGCACGTAAACTTCGTGTCAGTACCCCAGCAAAACGTTAGAATTCATGGCAAGCCCTGCCATTTCTAGGAGCAGGTGCAGCATTATGAATGGGTGGAGCGGTACGTCCGTGCATAAAGATCTTTACGATCGCAGGTCTTCGCGAATTGTGAGGGATGTTTACCAAGAATCGGAGGTCGAACGGGGCATGAGAGAGCAAAACGCAGGGTAAACGCTACATCAAGCACTTCCATAAACAATTAACATGCTGCAACGAAGGATAGCGGGATTTGCACCGTTAGAATGTTGCACGACATGCGAATAACGCTTTTTTGCGAAGCTCAAACGGCCGAGAGTACAGGCACATGACCAACGGTACAAGTTCAGAACAGCCTGATCGGCACTGGTCCTGCACTAAGCCTCAGCTGAAGATGGGTGCGCGAATGTGATGGACTGCCACTGTGTATACCCTTCCTGCAGCATGAATCTGAACCCTGCGGAGCGGCACACGGTATTCGGCGTCACCATCGGCACTTTCTTCACCTGGATGTCCGTGTACGCCGTGAGCCAGGCCATGGTGCAGCGATACCTCACCATACCGACAATCCAGGGAGCCCGAACGTGAGAGCCCTCCTCGCTTTCCTTTGGCACTATTAGCAGCGTTGCTAAGATTTTTCGGCTTTCACTTTCATGTACGTGCGAGTTCCTTGAAATATATGATCGTCCAGGTTTTCGAAAGACCACTTGTGCGTCTGCCGCAAGAAAGTTTAGAGTAGAGATGTAAGCTATGAACGGTTTGGGCGTTAGAACGTCTGAGGTTAGCAATCAATAGAAAAGAACCATAGCATGAATAGTTTTCATGGGTCATGAGGAACAGTGTGCACAAAGACAAATGCAAAGAATTAACATGTTTCACGCTTGTCTCGAGCTAACTTCAGCTAGCGGGCCTATAGGTCCCGTAATTTAGTCCCGCATGTGCGAGGACAGTGAAGCTTAAAGCGTAACGCGGGGCCAAGGGGGGTGGCAGTGAGGGGCAGTTTGTATGAAATGTTAGTTAAGACCTTCTCCTTATTTGACATGTACGTCGTTTTTGAAGGGCATTTGGTATGAGGATTCAAGAACCTTGTCGATGCTGCTATTTAAAAGGCTACGATTTTGAACGCTGAGTTATTGTTTGACGAGTTATTGTTGAGTTATTGTTTCGCTGTTATTGTTTCGTTGTTGTTCGTTGTTATTGTTTCTTTGTTATTGTTATCGCTGAGTTATTGTTTAATGAGTTATTGTTTGACGGTTATGTACCAAAACATGGCGACCGCAAGGGGTTCCTCACCGAGAAAAAGAAATGCTTGAGACCAACCAGCCATGTGTATACATAGAGCTCATGAAGATAGTTCAACAAACGTATGAGACGAAGACAGTTATGTGCACGACGCGCGTTTGACTTCTGCTCTGGCGTATTACAATAAACTCCTTACTAGGTAATAATGCTATAGGCAGTTATCACTACATACCGAATTTGAAGAAAATGGTTATTTTGTTCCTTGCGTTCCCATCGCTCCATTTTGATATATGTATTATAATTTATAAGAGCTTTTATAGTGTTTATTGGTGCCTATCTATGCTTTTTGCATTTGGGATTAAATGCCTATAAGTTCCCATAAATGCCTATTTTCACAATCGGTGCCTATATGAGCACTGCTTAACGTGTGATGAGAGGCCACCTTGGCGAATTGGGCGAGTCGGAAGGAAGCAAGTATTTCATGAAGAGAGGGGAAAAGGGAGTCGTGTTGGTTGACGTAGCGGGGTGTAAAGTGTCGCTGAGTTATTGTCGGAATAAAACACCATTTAACAATGGTAAGAGAGAAATTGCCAGAACAATGACTGAACACTTATCGGTTTCCATTGTATACCTACCATATCGCGCTGACTCAAGGGCCCCTTTTGAAACGTTTATATCTGCTGGCTGAAGTGTATTAAACTTGTAAATAAGGTACGACTCTGTATATTTTCTGTCTCTTGGGGACCGGAAGATTGACTGGAGAATGGAAAGTCCGAGGCCATCGAAGTTCCGACCTGCTACACAAAAATATTCTGCCATTGCTGCAGGTGCTTTATTCACAGTGTTCACATGATGCCAACTTAACATAACACTAACAGGCTGCCCTGTTTTGTTTCGGACCACTTGTGACAATTTGAACATTAAACGATGTAGGCAACGTTATAACTAGTGAAGGTAAGGCTGAGTTTTATAAGATGTACATAATTACTTTGGTTATGTACTCGCAATGCTCAAGCGAGGTTAAATATATAGCCAAAGCTATATTGGGTGAATATCTATATATTTCCTTCAAGGCTGTTTCTCGGCCTGAACTTGTTAATTTATCGACAGCATTCAGCATGCATTAACCAAGCATTCCAAGTGAATACAGCACAATAGTCAACAAATTCAAACTGCTGCAAATATATTTAGGTGTTAATTAGCAAAATTACGACACAGGCAACATCCATTTAAAATGAATCACGTATCCAGGCTCTATAATCACATTTATGTAATTCCCAATCGTATCAACAAGTGCGACTCTTTTCTCACCTTTCTTATTCGAGCAGAATCGAATCCAGCTTGTACGTGAAACCAAAGTGGCAATACGATCACCAAATTACCATGCCTCAAGGTGTCTTTGATTGGCAAGCCGCTTTCCCTTTGAGCAAAATCATTCCAGTTGATGAGCTTATTTTTTAAGGCTGCAATCTCGGACAACCAGGTTGAAGTTAATTTAAATCTGAAAATATTACAACGTTTAAATGACGACGTGCTAAAGGAGTTAAGCGAATTCTTTCTATGTATGCCATGCATTTTTTTTAAATTGAACCTAATGCTGCTTCAATATATTAAAGAAAATGTATTCTCCTGCATCACAAGTGTGAAAGCCAAAGGCATGCGCAAAACCTTCAAGATAATGATAGTATAACACAGTAATTAACCATGTGTTTTACAACGCGTGACTGAGAGAATGTTGAAGTCCATTATTTCCTCTTATTAACAATATATTGAATGAATTTATATAACTCAATTTTTTATTGTGAACAACTTCTCAAATCAGAGCACCTTTGTGACTGAGAGAAAAACACAGCGTAAACAACGTCAGCAAGCGGCCGGGTAGACAGAGTGCATCGTTTTTTGCGAAATTCGGAACATCTTTACTTCACACACCACAAAACGAACTTGAATTTACTGCAGTACGCAGCTTTTACATGAAAATACTCGTTTAGTTAGATATAATAACTATGGCTTCACATCATGTATTTATCCGCACATGGTGTGGACTTGTCAATTCATGGAAAAGGGAAATGTCTGCCTCGCTCGGAACTTCTGAGTGATGTATGCTTTTGCCGCTTCCTAATTGCCGCTGTCTGATAGAGTTCAGGCGGTACGTTACATATAGTCACGCTTTGTAAGAGAGGGAAAGGCTGAAAGAGTTGTAATCTAACGTCCTAAGACAAACATAAGAGCACAAAAATTGACAAAAACAACACCCAAGTACTTCATGCAGCTGTTTCACGAGCTGACATCCATCGGAAGTGTCTTTTTTTTAGGTTTTGATTTCTTTATCACCAAATCGAAGAGATTCGTGCTTCAAACTTACATTTGTTGACGTTAGCTTAAATCGGTACTGACACCATTTCTTGCAGATGAGCTTACTGGCCATGCTAATCTTTGGTATTTACACAGATGACGGAGTGGATTTGGAGCTCATGAAAATGCCAAGCAGATATTTTGTCATATTAAAGTCAATATTCCCATGATGCACCTATCGACGACACTAGATTTACGTCAAACTCCAGTACTAATTCTGGTTTCGCAGCAGTCTGGATAATTAAGATGACTTCATACCCCAAAACGTCTGAAATGTCCACTTGTGCGAAACGAAGATGTTCAAAATGGTCGCATGTGCGTGATTAACAGGAGCTAAGGTGAGGAGCAGCTATCGAAACGTCGCAATATGTTGCGCGAGCACATGACAAGAAGCCCATATTGCGCTACGACGTCAGGGTACAGTGGTAACTGAAACTAACTTTCAGAACGACTCTAATTTCCTTTTCCAGGTGAATTTGGCCTAAAGGGTACAATTTCTTGGCTCATGAGAGCTAGGTCATTTGAGTTTATGCGAAAAAAACTGAAAGCTTTCGTGTGAGAGAACCTTTAAAGGATATTTAGAACTAAATAATTTTATGGGTCGTGTGCATGCTGCGGTGTTCCAGCTGTTTATCTAGGGAAAACTTGAAAAGAAAGCAGTGCAGGAGCAGAGACCCTTTAGGTTACCGCACATTATCGTACCACCCCATCCCCCTCCTCCTCCCTGCAATGAGAATTTTCACTGCCTGTTTCCGCGGTAGAATCTTTACGGTGCTCGGCTACAAACGCTAAAGTCGCGGGTTAAATCTCGGTCACGGCGATTGCGTTTTCATAATGTCGGAATGCTGTATGCCCGTGTGCTGCACTACGTCGATTCCCGTTAAAGAATAACAGATAGCGAGAACAGCCCTCCGGTACACCAGTAACTCATAATCATATGGTGGTTTTCTGCACGTAAAATATTACAAAACATATTGACAGATGCGTGAGCCAGCCTTCGGTGGCTTTGCATGACAAAGAGATCGCGCTTTAGATAGGGGTTAGCCATTTTATCATTGTGCCTTCATTTCATCGGACACTTCCCCAGAATATGTCACGTTGCTCACGTTTGCTGTTAAAAGGTTGCCTGTTGTATATATTATCATGTGTGCCGTGAAAAATAATATCAGTTGGTAGTCAGCGCTCGTATTGTCCTCTTTGCCTTCCTTGCCTCGCCTTTCGTTTCACGTTTCTTATAGCGACTTCGTGCTTGCGCTGCAACCATTATTACCATAAAACCCCCGGATATATTATTATACAGTGTCGCTGTAGGACGCAATCGTTCCCATTTTACAGAAAATTCAAGTTTCGTCACAACTTACATCAGCTACCACATGTTCCAAAGAAAGACTTTGTTTTCTTGCAATACCAAAATGTGCTTCAGATTCGCATAAGTGGTTGCTGTCGCTTCGAAAGAGTCTGAGTGACGGGACATTTGCGTATTATCATATTCATCGCAGGGCCATCTGGCTCAACCTTCCGGGCTTGTCGTTCCTTATGCTCATCTGTGCAATGGCGGGCCTAGTGATGTACGCTCGCTACTATGACTGCGATCCGATTATGACCAAGAAAGTTAGCTCGGCAGACCAGGTGTGTGCACTTAAGGATAGCGCCACGAATAGGTAGGCTGCGACCTATTCGTACAAGTGACGTCACTGCTTTACGATACACAAATCAATAACGATTCCCTGACAACGCACCCACGTGGATTTGTCATCTTGGTGTACCTACCTCGAGCACTAGAAACGCTTCGCTTTTATGCAGTCAAGCTGCATAACTAAGTTTCTCGCGACGAGTTACTTTTGTAAGCTGCCAGTAAAAAATCCTTGATAACAGTTTAGCGATCTCGTCATGTTTCGTATAACGTACATGTCTCAGTTAATATGGTTATATTCTCCTCCATTTCATCCCACTAGTTCTATTCGAAGCAAACAATTATTTATTCAAAAAATATTATTGGCGTTGCGATCACATAAAGTACCAGATTTCACAGCGTAGTGGATCGAAATTTCATTTTTCAAAAAACGCCGTATAGCATTTTGTAAAACGTAGTACTTTTGTCTCCAGCTCCTTCCTCTGCTATGTCATGGACGTCCTGGGCAAATTCACGGGTCTTCCTGGACTTTTCGTAGCTGGAATTTTCAGCGGAGCACTCAGGTGAGTGATCACAGCTTTTAGCGTCTAAAGCCGAATTTATCTTGTGTTGTCGGGCCTTTATCAAAGCGCACTGATAAGGCTTGGCAACTTGAGCAAACGTTTCAACCCCATAATCAAGCTGAACGAACATAACGCAAATTAGAGTGTTGAGAACTTGCAGTGCATAGTTGAACAGCAGTGCATAGTTGAAGAAACACGGGGAAAAGGACACATCAAAATGCTCGTGTGTATGTAAAAACGTATACGACCTTCTAAATAAAGAAGCCACTGCGTCAAGTGACATTCGCTCAATATTTGCTGTCAGAAATAGATGAACAAAAACGTAGCGAATAGGAGGCCTTAAGAGCATCCTGCGTTGTGTATCTTGCAAACATTGACCTCTGGAGACCACTATGAAGGTTGCGTTAAAAGCTTAGGGACAAGAATGACGTGGCAGCGTAATGAAAAAGGATGCAGATTAACGAACCACTTCATTGTAAATAACAAAAAAAAATGTATGATGAATTAGTAGCGGCGGATGACACGATCTAGAGCACTAGATACGAGTTGTGCATTGAATGAGCCCTGACAATAGGTGTACGCAAAGAAGCTTATGGTGCAAGCGCTGTGTCGCAGTGGAACATCTATTCTGGAAGGTCGGCTAAGAATGGACACATACCTAGTAGCGACATAGTTTGTGGAAAACGTATAATTCAGCTGTTTAAATCCGCAAGACGGCATATATAGTATATACTGAGCGGGCCGGTTTATCTATCCGTGTATACGCAAGTTTACGTCGCGCAAAACAACGATGAATCTCAATATCCACAGAACAATCTTGTGTTAAATGACCAATGAGCGAGGTAGCTAAAAGAAGCTGAGCATTATTTTGGCTCCCACGAGGTGCAGATAAGCAAAACCTAGAATATGTGAGAAATCAAATCGTCTAAACCTTGCGTCCCTTATCGGCACTGTGCGAGCTGGGGAGCACAAGCTAGAAAACACTTCGTACAGATAAGTATTAACAAGTCGTAAAAAGCGTTGCGTGCAAATAATCATTGGTCTGACAGCGGTACAATAGTTACCAAGGGAGATGAGTCCATGTTCGATAGTGGGCGAAGGGGCGGTTTGTGAAAACAGGAAGTTTTTATACCCAGGATACAGTGGTCCAGCAAAATAAACGTAGTCCAACCTTCAAACTTAAGCTTAAAAGAAATTAAAGCACACACGAATGTATAGAACCAGTCTTTGATACTGAATATGGGCAAGCGGAAATATCCAGGAAAGGACACTCTCGCTAAGCCTGTCATACGCTTTACACGCCTTACGACATTTTCGGTGTAAATGACTTAAAGGAAAATAATAGGCTTCAGGAGGTCACTCTGGCTGTTGAGTGAGACGTAGAAAGCCCTAACGACGTGTTGAACGAGTACTTGACCCTCAGTGTGCCATGCTTTTACGACCGCATACCCCTCGCCATCCAGCAAAACTATTAAAAAAGTGGCTGTATAGATGGGGCTTCCGAATTATATACATCAAAGATACACCTATGGACGACGCCTAGATTATTCTCACGAAGTACATTAACAGTTCTTGTACGACTCTATTCGATGAGAAGGTTGACGATTAACGGAGAAAACTCTGAGCCATGTTTATCTCCTCGAAGTGTTGAGCGTTGAACTGCAACTACCACACAATTCGATGAGCAGGTTGACTATTAGCAGAGAATATTCTGAGCCGTCTTTCCCTCATCGAGAGGGTGAACATTAAAATGCAACTAGCACTTCATTTGACGAGCAGTTTAACTAGTAGGAGAGGGTACCATGAGCCGTCTTTCCGTCCTAAACAGGCTGAGCGTTGAACTGAAACAACTCCATTAGATCAGTAGGTTCACTTCATTCATTCACTTCATTCCGTAGACGATATTCTGTGCCATTTTTCTTCCTCAATGTGCTGAGCGTCAAACTTCAACTACAAACCTATTTGATGAGCAGGTTAACTATTAGCTGAGAATACTCTGAGCCATGTTTCCCTCCTCAACATGCTGAGCGAAGTGGCGGAAGAGATGGGGTTCCCGAAGCATACGCATCAAAAAACATAAATATGAACGACATCAATACTAATCTGGCAAAGTACATAAACAGGTTTCTCCGACTGTTTTTCTTGAGCAGGTTAACTACAAAGGGCGAAAATTCCGAGCCATGTTTACCTCCTAAACATGCTGAGCGGCGAACTGCTATTAAAACTATATTTCATGAGCAGCTTGACTATTAGCAGAAAATATGCGGAACCACCTTTCAATCCTCAAAGTGCTTAGCGATGAACTTCGACTACAACAATATTTGATGAGCAGGTTGAGTATTAACACAGGATATTTTTAGCCATGTTTTTCCTCCTAAAAGGGCTGAGTGTTGAACTTCAAATTACAACACTGTTTGATGAACACGTTGACTACTAGCCCAGGATATTCCTAGTCATGTATCCTTTCACAAAGTGCTATGCGTCGAACTTCCAACTACAACTCTAATTGATGAGCAGGTTTACTGTAAGCATACTATATTCTCAGCCATGTTTTCCTCCTCAATATGCTGAACGAAGCCGCAGTTGTAATGGTGTTTCCAAATCACTGACAATAGAGAAATACAATTATGAGAACGTCAAGATTACACTGGCGAAGTACTTCTACAGTTTTATTACTGAATTATGTGAGCAGGTTCAGTATTGCCGGAGAAATTTCTGAGCCACGTTTTCCTCTTTAACGTGCTGGGCGTTGAACATACACTACAACTCTGATTGGTAAACAGCTTGTTTATTGGCGCAGGATATTCTGAGCCATATTTTTTTGTCGGTGAAATGCTGAGAGCTGAACTTCAACTACAACACTGTTTGATGAACACGTTGACTGTTAGCAGCGGATATTCATAGCCATGTTTCCGTTCTCGAAGTGCTATGCGTCGAACTTCCAACTACAACTCTATTTAGGAGCAGGTTTACTCTAAGCAGATTATATTTTTAGCCACGTTTTCCTCCTCAATATGCTGAACGAAGCCGCGGTAGCGATGGTGTTTCCAAATCATTGACTATAACGAAACACAATTATGAACAACGTCAAGATTCATCTGGTAAAGTACTCCCACAGTTCTCTTTACTGAATAATGTGAGCAGGTAAAGTATACCCGGAGAAAATTCTGAGCCATGTTTTCCTCTTTAACGTGCTGGGAGTTGAACATACACTACAACTCCGATTGGTAAGCAGCTTGTTTATTAGCGCAGGATAATCTGAGCCAATTTTTTGGTCCTTGAAGTGCTCAGAGCTGAACTTCAACCACCACAGTGTTTGATTAACACGTTGACTATTAGCGGAGGATATTACTAGTCATGTTCGCTTTCTCGAAGTGCTATGCGTCGAACTTCAACTACAACTTCATTTGCTGAGTAGGTTTACTGTAAGCAAACTATATTCTCAACCATATTTTCCTCCTCAATATGCTGAACGAAGCCGCAGTTGTGATGGTGTTTCCAAATCACTGACTATAGAGAAATACAATTATGAGAACGTCAAGATTACACTGGCGAAGTACTTCTACAGTTTTATTACTGAATTATGTGAGCAGGTTCAGTATTTCCGGAGAAAATTCTGAGCCACGTTTTCCCCTTTAACGTGCTGGGCGTTGAACATACACTACAACTCTGATTGGTAAACAGCTTGTTTATTGGCGCAGGATATTCTGAGCCATATTTTTTTGTCGGTGAAGTGCTGAGAGCTGAACTTCAACTACAACACTGTTTGATGAACACGTTGACTGTTAGCAGCGGATATTCATAGCCATGTTTCCGTTCTCAAAGTGCTATGCGTCGAACTTCCAACTACAACTCTATTTAGGAGCAGGTTTACTCTAAGCAGAATATATTTTTAGCCACGTTTTCCTCCTCAATATGCTGAACGAAGCCGCGGTAGCGATGGTGTTTCCAAATCATTGACTATAACGAAACACAATTATGAACAACGTCAAGATTCATCTGGTAAAGTACTCCCACAGTTCTCTTTACTGAATAATTTGAGCAGGTAAAGTATACCCGGAGAAAATTCTGAGCCATGTTTTCCTCTTTAACGTGCTGGGAGTTGAACATACACTACAACTCCGATTGGTAAGCAGCCTGTTTATTAGCGCAGGATAATCTGAGCCAATTTTTTGGTCCTTGAAGTGCTCAGAGCTGAACTTCAACTACCACAGTGTTTGATTAACACGTTGACTATTAGCGGAGGATATTACTAGTCATGTTCGCTTTCTCGAAGTGCTATGCGTCGAACTTCAACTACAACTTCATTTGCTGAGTAGGCTTACTGTAAGCAAACTATATTCTCAACCATATTTTCCTCCTCAATATGCTGAACGAAGCCGCAGTTGTGATGGTGTTTCCAAATCACTGACTATAGAGAAATACAATTATGAGAACGTCAAGATTACACTGGCGAAGTACTTCCACAGTTTTATTACTGAATTATGTGAGCAGGTTCAGTATTCCCGGAGAAAATTCTGAGCCACGTTTTCCTCTTTAACGTGCTGGGCGTTGAACATACACTACAACTCTGATTGGTAAGCAGCTGGTTTGTTGGCGCAGGATATTCTCAGCCATATTGTTTTGTCGTTGAAGTGCTGAGAGCTGAACATCAACTACAACACTGTTTGATGAACACGCTGACTATTAGCGGAGGATATTACTAGCCATGTTTCCTTTCTCAAAGTGCTATGCGTCGAACTTCAACTACAACTTCATTTGCTGAGCAGGTTTACTGTAAGCAGACTATTTTCTCAGGCATGTTTTTCCTCCTCAATATGCTGAACGAAGCTGCAGTAGTGATGGTGTTTCCAAATCCCTGACTATAGAGAAATACAATTATGAGAACGTCAAGATTACACTAGGAAGTACTTCCACAGTTTCTTTACTGAATAATGTGAGTAGGTAAAGTATTTCCGGAGAAAATTCTGAGCCACGTTTTCCTCTTTAACGTGCTGGGC